ATCTCTAGGCTCCTGCTGTTCAACTTGTCCAGCTTTTGCTGAACCGAAAGAATTCCGTCGCTTTCCATTTTTATGATCCTTAGGTAATTGTTCCAAACTAGCTGTACCTGAATCATGGATTGGTTTCGAAGGAGACTTTTTGCCAGCAGATGAGGAATGACGTTTGGGATTTGATCCACTTTTTTCACTTTTGATCTTCTTAGGATTCACTGACACCTGACTAGAAGGTGTCCCTTGGGATTCAGGAACAGTTATATGGCTCCTTGGAGATGCATCTGGTGACACTTTGTATAGCCGATCCGTCTTAGCTTCTTGCTCTATTTGAACATTAACTGAATTGTTTTCTGGCTTCTCCTCGTGTGATAGATCTGAACTGACCATAACATCTTTCAGCTCACTGTTAGCATTATCGGTAGGATCCTCTGTCCCTGACTGAACATAGTCGGAGTGCAATAAGTCATTTATACTATCGTCTCCAATGTGCGGATATCCGTTGTTCTTGTCATGGCCAGTTTGATCGTATGAAGGCTTTAGTTCCTGCTCAAATTCGCGAGCTCCAACTTCAGACCTATCTGGTGAGTCCAGGGTAGAAGAAATAGAAAGCTCGGTGCCACATTCAGAACCACCAACTTGAGCTCTTGTACTATGAGGAACAGAAGCTTCTGACATGGCAGTTTCCCTTGCCCCAAATGATTGATCAGTGATAGATGAAAATGTATCTTCACTGGATTCGTCTTCAGTCTTATGATTGGACAAACTAGATATTTTGGTTGATTTAGCTGCCGAAGTGAGTTCCTCAAACTTTGTCTGAGCAGCGATAAATGCAGGATTACTTGCCTTTCTTGATCCATGTACGACCTGTTTGCACGTCTCTGGAGGTTCAACAGTAAGGGAATGTGTATCCTCACTGTCAGCTTCGGTCTTAGCAGGGAAAGAATTGGTCTCTGGCTTGGGGAGCAGCTCGGACTCCTTATATTGAGTAGGAATAGAACAGAAATTGTCATCTCTTGAATTTGTTTCATCAACATTCTTAGGCTGAGGAGGTACTGGTATGTCGGCTTGCACCTCTAAGCTATCTGCATCATAAGTGATCAAATGTTCGTCACTTTCCGACAGAGCCGCAGATAACGATACCTCGTCATCCTGTCTGAAGTCCATTGACTCAGAATCAAGCTGAACTTTACTTTCAATAAGGTTGCTGGAGTGCTCAACACTACTTTCCTTTTCCTGCTGTTCTGCTGATAATTCTAATTGTGGTGACGGTTCATTTCCTGGTGATGAAACAGACATCCATCTCTCTAACCATTTCCAGGCTGAATCAGATTTGGAAGGATCACACTTAATATTAATACTTTTGGTCTTCGGAGTTGATTCAAGGAGCTTGCACCAAAGGATAAAATGACAAATCAGTTTGGACAGGAAATGAAGCATATTTAACAAAATTGTCGCAAATTTTAGATCCCATAGTGGAAAATGACTATAATATATACCTGTTGAGCAAAGCTATTGCTTAGTAGCTTCGAAATAGAAGTGTATGTGACCTCTGATTTTGTTCCTGAGTTCTCCTTTCCCTTTCCCTGAAAGGACGAAACATCAGAGATGTGATTCATCAGTTAAAAAATTAGTCGAAAGGGCTTCTGCACAGAAACAACACCCAAAAGGTGGGAGGGAGAAGAGGGAAAAGAAAGAAATGTCTCAAATGATAGGTACAGAGTGCCTCAGAGTCAAATCTAAAATTCAAAAGCGAGCTGACCAAAACCTTCAGATTTACGCTTGAGCAAGAAATATTACCAATATAGTATCAAGCTCTTCATCTTTTCATACTTACATTTAACTTCTCCTTATTTCTAGATCCTTTTGCAAGGCGGTTAGCATGGCGTGCTCGCACAATAGCCTGCAATCTGACAATAGCCTGGACACATCGCAGAGTTCCGACAGCATGCCTGCGAACTAAATGTCCACGTACAGCAGCTTGCAATTTAGTTATATGCTTTTGCTTCAGTTGAGCTCTTCTTGCCTGGGAGAAGAAACCATCAAATACAAAATTAATTTATAATTTGCCAAAAGCTTTAACCATTAAATGTTCAAGACAATGGAAAGAAGAGAAGACAAAATTAAGGTACCAGAAATGCTCTGACTGCAGTCTGGATAACAATAACAACATGCTCATCTGGAGTAACATCAGCTTTACCATCATTGACTCTAGATGTTACTGGCTCTGATAGTGTTGCATCCACCACGGATAAGGGTATGGGTTTCTCATCTGTTGAGACACGGGGCTTCTTGTCTAATGAGATGCGTGGCTTCTCATTTTCAGAAACCAGGGGCTTCTCGTCATCAGAAACCAGGGGCATCTCGTCTTCGGAAACCGGGGGCTTTTCGTCTTCGGAAACCGGGGGCTTTTCATCTTCAGAGACCAAGGACTTCTCATCTTTGGAAACAGGGGGCTTCTCGTCCTCCAAGATCTGGGGATTCTCGGCTGTCGAAACCTGGGGCTCCTCGTCCGCTAAGATCTGGGGCTTCTCGTCTGCGCAGATCTTGGGCTTCTCGGCTGTTGAGAACTGGGGTTTCTCATCTGCCCATTGGATGACAGATGCCTTCTCTGGAATGGTAGAGTTAGATTGCGTTTGCAGATTGGCATTTGCAGATTCTGGCCAGTCCTTGTTCCCAGATGGTGTTTCTGAAACTACTGTATTGCTTAATACACGATGCCTGGCTGATTTCTTGCGGAAACTCCATCCACGCTTGTCGCTTGAGCTCTTACTCTACAAAAATGTCTCAAATAATTCAACCACAAAGAATAAAGAACATGGCAAAAGTTAAATTCTGCAAAGTTATTTTGTTAGGGTTGCGCAAGATATTTAACTGAACATCCATAATGATCTGAAATCGTCTTGCAAGTATCAAGAGTTTAGCACTTCCACATTCTATCAATATGTCTCTTAACCAATAAAGTATAGATAGGAAAGGGAAAGCAGTGGAAGTAAATCAGAGTCCCTGATTAGACCATTCTATAGATCAATTGTGACAAGAGAGGGTGACATGCAGATTGTGGAATAAGCATTTCTGAAATCAAGTTACATACATATGTCAATGAGTCATGATGCATATAGTAAAATGATCTGAACATCAATCAAACTTCAAATACTAAGAAAAATTATTATGTCCAAAGGCCTCAGATAGGAAAATGAAACCATTGACAATGAGATCTTCTTTACCATATGTATTCACTTTTGCAACAGATGATGCGCTTTTCTTTTTTGGCCTTTCTCTTAAAACAACAACCCCGAAAAACTCCCATGCAAAGGCCGTAGATAAGGAATGAAATCATACACATGGTTGTCATCTTAATCATGTTTCATCACATCTATGTCAGTGAATTAGTACTTGATTTGTGTTTTCCTTACTTAAGCACATCCACCAACTGCGGGGGGGGTGTTGTAGGTAATGTGAAAGTCTCATAGCTGGAATTGTCAGCTCAACTTATATTTCTGACTCCACAGCAGCAAGGCCATAATTATGTAAAGAAGGAAGACAAGCATATATTTGGCCAAAAAAAAACATATGGAAATTTTATGTGAACACTAGTGAGTTCAATCCATTTCCATTTAGAGATACATTGAATTATATATCAGCCAATCTCATTTAACCTTGATGTGTTGTGAACACATCTAACAACTCCCAACTAAGCTACAAATTCAAATCCAAACCTAATCAGTCTACATTTAACAATCTATCACTCATAATTGAGATCCAATGACAAATTTTTAAAACTTTTCTACACACATTCCACAAAAAGAAAGCTCCTTTATTCAAGAAAAACAACTAGCTCTACTCATGGATCAAAATAAAGGGACAAATCCCATCATCTTAAAACTTAACAAATTTGCAGAAAAACAAAAAAGAAGGGGATTTTGATCCAACATTCATTTGAAAACCCTTTTCTGACCCAAAAAAATTCAATTTTTAAGCTACATTATCAGTGGAAAAAAAAACAGGAAATAACAATTTTGTAAAAAAACAAAAGAATCAGACTTCACAATTTGAGGGGTTGATCCAAGATTCATTAGAAACCATTTTCTCACAAAAATGATTCAATTTTTAACATACATTATTAATTAATCAATACAAAAATCAGTAAAATAACAACTGAAAATTTGATCTAAGAAAAAGGGGTATAGATTTATACCTCAGAAGGAGTTTCAAGTTCATCATGTTCAACTGAATCACTGCCACAAGCAATTATCTTGAAACAAGAAGAAGCTGTTGATTTTCCCATTTTTTTTTTCTTCTTTTTTTCCTCTCAGTCACTGATTGACCAGTCTTCTCTAGCCTTTTTTTGCTCCAGTGTTGTAGTAGTAGTAGATATTCTATAGTTGTTGGAAATTGTACTTAATGAGCTGATAATAATAAAAAAGTTAAAAGATAAAAAGTTTTTATTAAGAACACGGACCTCAACACTCTCCTAAAATCTAGCTGACTTTAGTATTTTCAGGTCCGTGGTTTTTATTTTCCTTTTATTTTTACAGACCCCAGTAGTTTTCTTTATTATAAAAGAAAAGAAAAAGATATGAATATATTTCCGTTGAGACTAAAAGACAAGAATCATCCTATTTAAAAAAATCCAAATTCAGATCTGTTGTTGTTTTGTCCCGTTCTTGTTTTTTACATTCAATCCAACTTTCATATCTATAACATGTGTAATAAGTTGAAAATGATATTTTCTTTATTAGATAAAAATGTTTAAATTTAACTTAATACAGCTATACAAGTAGTATTAAATAATTAGAATATTTAGCACTTTATGTTTAGAAAAGGGTAGAAAGTAGTTCCTATTTTTAGTATATTCTTAATTTTAATTTCTTTTTCTATCGGTTGTTTCTCTTAGTTACGATTTTTTTTATTGTTTTGTTATTTTATTGTTGTTACTATTCTTGCCTTTATTATTTTTAACACGGTTTCTTTACTACTGTTTTTCTTTTTTAAACCTGCTGTGAATTAATTTTTTTGAGCCCAGAGTCTAACGAAAACAACAAGTTTGCATACATATTATCCTCCACATATTCTATATTGTGAGAATATACTGGGTATATTATTGTTGTTGTTATATCTATTTATATTTGAATGGAAAAAATAATCTTACAAAGATTATCTATGTTATTTTACCGATCTTTTATGTAATTTTTATAAAATTCATGTAACTAAAATAAATTTTGCAATAAATTACAAATATGAAATCTTACTTTTTAGTGTAATACTGCAATAAGTTTACTTGTGAATCCTCTAATTTTAGGTGGCATTTGGATTCAAAGGAAGATCTGATTATTGTTAATGTTGGAAGGGCAATATATATGTAGTTTATATAGAAATAGTGTTGAATAAAGTTGAATAAATTGAAAGGGACAAAAGAAAATTAATAAATGAAAAACAGTCAAATATGTTTAATAACACAAAAAACTATTTCAAGAGTAGTTCACCAATATCTCGTACAGCAAATAATCACGAGAAATGGCACAAATTATCACCTTTCCATTAATTCTTTTATTCTTCAAGTGACACTTCATCCTTTTCTGATAATGACTCCAAGTAATTTTTCTTCCTTTTTTTATATTAATTAATTCTTTTTCTATCTTTATTTCGCATATACCTTCCTCTAATGAAGATTTAAGGTAGTTTAGCTTATCTTTGTCCTTTTCCCTTCCTTTTATTTTTGTAAAAAATGCAACTTCCAGATTCTATACATCATTACCGATATATGTTAATTAATAAAAATTACACTGAATGAAATATTTTTTCATAATTGTTTTGCATATAATATGACTTTTTGGATAATATTTAGTAGAATTACATAGTCCTACAATTGTTCAGTGATGTGAACGGAAAGCTTAAACTAAAGTGCTCCCTCCGGTTCACAATAAGTGTCCAATTTATCTTTTTATTTTGATCCAAAATAAGTGTCCATTTATATAATCAAGGAAAAATTTAATTTGTTTTTCCAAAATTATCCTTATGTGTGTATCCCTAAAAAGTCTTTTATTCCTCACATTAAATTATGTTGCAATATTTAATTAAGGGTAGGTTAATCACACTAACTATTTTTGTCTAAAATTTAATATTTCTTTGTGCCCAAGGCAAATTGGTCACTTATCAGAGGGGTTGGCTGCCACAGTGGAGGAACATTAGGGTTAGGAGCAATTATGTAAACTTTGTTAACGATAAGGATAGATTTGAACGAAAAGTAAAACGAGTGACAAAAGTAAACAATATACTATAGTAGAAGGACAATTTTGACCTTTTCCCAAAGGATAAAGTCTATTAAACAAAAAAGAAAGAAGCAAAATGATTATAGTTGGTGTTTCTCTATCAACATTATATATACTTACACCGTTGATGTGACTTTGATCAATGATGGGATTAGTTAAATCAAAATCTTAATGATGGATTAGTTATTAATTATTCTTATTTAGGATAAGAGAACAATCTTAAAACAGAAGAAAGGTATCTACTAATTAGTTTTACAAAATTGATGGCACTTCTAAATTACTTTGTAAATTGTGATGCTTATAGATGCGAGACAGAAATAAAAGATAAGGTACAAAACGGTGATGGGCCCTAGTTAGTGGACCAATTCACATGAAGTGGGCCCCTTTGGGCTTCTTGTTGCAAGAATACCCCGAGATTACAACGTCATATAATACTAGTGGGGCATTTGCATCTATACTCGCTTTTTGTTTCACATTTTAACTTGTGTCTGCTTTGCAAAAAAATTGCAAGCGTACCCGCTTGTTCACATAACTTCAGCACACAGGGCTGAAGTAGCACAGACAATCACGCAAAACTTCAGCATTCTAGTAGTCGGGCCTGAAGTTCAGCTCTAGAGCTGAAGTTTTTGTGTTGTAACTGGGAAACTTCAGCTCTATAGCTGAATATTTTGTGTTGTAATTGACTACTTTTAACTCTCTCTCTCTCTCATGCACATAACACATGATACTCATCTTCATTGTTATGTTAGCTTTAAGCTTTATTAGTCTGCAACAACAGAACTAGACACTTAAAATATGGATTGCATCGCTAACAAAAGATTAACCAGAACTATAGCCAGTTATAGCAACTGAATCAGGATGGTTATCTACTGTAGCTGTAAGTTCTTGCATAGCTAGCAGAACCAAAACACATGGACTGTTAACAACAGAAGCATATAGACAACAGCAGAAAGGATCGAAAGCTCAAGAAATAAAGGGTCACAACTTCATTTAAAGCTAGTGGAATATAGTTAGCAGGTATTTAAATAACAAAATATACGGATAGCAGCAGAAATCATCAAAATTACAAGAAATATAGTGTGGTCTCCGCTTCATACAAATCTAGTGGAGTAAGTAACATGAGCAGACTGACATTTTCTATGCAAGACCAATAAAAAAAATAGGCTATGCATTTTGTCTTTTGTTGAGAAAAAGAAAGCGAAGGAGGAAAAAAAATAGGCTATGATAAATTTTTTAAGAATATCATATGAATATTAATTTCCTACTCACTGTCACAAAATTGTACTACATTTTTTAAAACCATTTTGTGTCGAAAATGTACTGATCCAATTAACTCGAATTGGTATCATAAAATTTCGCTACGAAGAATTTTAGTATTCCATCCGTTCACTTTTATTTGATATTTATGCATATCGACAATTTTTTTTTCCTGTTATACCCATAGTATTTATTACTCATTTCAAATCATTTTCTCAAATTCAATAAAATATACATTAATTAATATGGGTATCATGACAAATTATGTACTTTATTTATTATTTATTAAGGGGCGTGAAAAGTGAAAACGAAACTCTGGAAAAACTTCTATCATTTACACGTATGTATAATTGACAAATATGTCACTATAACATACTTTGTAATCGTTGTTATGAAACCAACAATACGGTTTGATACTTTTTCTGGTCCGTTATTTTAGCAATTTAAATAGTTGATATTTTACAAAAAGAAATTTATTACTTTGTACTTCTTCTTTTTCAAATTCTCTTGTTCTATAATAAGTGGTGTTAATTAAATTGAAATATTTAAGAGATAGATAATGGATATTTAAGAAATTATATTATAATAAAGCTTATCAAAATATCAGAAATAGTAGTTAGACAATAATAAGCTAAATCAGTAGTATTTTTTTTTCTACATTGGCCAAGTTCTGGACAGCTTAGCGGACACATGCGGAGCACATGAGAAGAAACTCCGACCCGTTTTCCACAACTGACAGCGCATGCGAATCGTTGAATTTTTTATTTTTATTTTTCAATATTTTGCATGTGAGGTTGAAATAATGGAGTATATGTACATGGACTACACATGTTCATGAGAGTTATTTAACCCAAATAATTAACGGATAACTCGCATAAAAAAACAGGTCTTGATCTTATCAATACATCAATACATTGGCTGGTCACTTGATCATTCTAGAATTTGTATACAGTAAAAATGGTCCGATTTTATGAGATGGTCCGATTTTATGATCATTATGGCGCTTCGTGAGACCGCCCCTTGAAGCCTCGAGGCCCAGTTTGAGGTTCGACCCCGAGGTTTCTTAATGATCGATCTCGAGGTAGTGCAAATCAAAGGCTATGATGGACAAACGGGAAACCCTCAAGGCACGCGATTAAAGCTCACCAAGTCTATTAGGCTAGTTCAAGCCCGTATCGTGGCATTAAATGGTTGTACCGACCTCAAATCTTTGTAATAAATGTGTCTGTACTATGTTGGGATTTCCCCTGCTATATAAAGGGGGCCTTTGTTATTTTTTGCACACATGATATTACACACAACATTCAATACAAAAACATTCTCTTCATTTCATTACTTATATTTATTGTGCTTTATTAATTGTTCTTCATTTATTGCTCATTATTGATCATAAAGAGTTTCATCAAAGCTCCCAAAACTGTTAGTCCTTCATCGGGTGTCCACAACTTAGTATCTGACTCGACCTCGAGGCCCGTATAATCTGGCTCGAGGGCCCGATTCTCAACCACTTGGTTTGCTTAAACATACTGCTTTCAAAGTTCTTATCTCATTTTCTAGTCTCACACTTAGCATCTATTGTTTAACAACTAGCATAAAAATAAATCACGCATTTTTGGAACCTCAAAATCAAATGTAATTGTAATTACCATTTTCAAGGTAAACTATTTTGGCACCCACCGTGGGGCTAAAAATAATAGTGGTTATTTTCTTGCTGGTTTACTACATAACGCAAGTTATCTTTCATGCTTTTTCTTGTCCAAGAATCTTTGATTTCATGTCAAAATGTCTAACTCAGTAAACACACATGAAAACAACGGTCTTGAGGACAATGGAGAGAATGATGTAGTTATTCCAGGTGTTGGTGTACCACCACGAAACCCTAA